GGCTTTAAAATGGAGCCAAACAAACCTTTTCTCTTTGTAAACTCAGTATCTCAAGTATTTGCAGTAATGATAGAAAAATGTCTATATACCAGGTGAAGTAGGCAGAACACCTGCAACCATACCAGGCAACTAGGGAATCTCCTGGCCAAGTTGTTACAAAATAGATGCCCACTAAACACAGAATAAACTAATTTGGGCCGCAGCTCATCACACCAACACCTATGCACAAACTTGCATTTATCAGCCTATGTTCTCTTCCTCCATGCTCAGTGCTGGCTATCTCCACCCACCTCTGTGCTCAGGAACCTGCAACATTGTCTTTCTCTGCTTCAGCATCACTGGATTTCTGTTGACTCTGAAACCCTTCCATGGAAACACAGTTTTATGAACTCCCTTTGGGATTTACTAAATCATTTCATTATTGTTGCAAGATATGATAAAGACAAATGTTTTAAGTAGAAACACCTTATTTAAGGTAAGTATAAGTGAAAAGATGATTTAAAATTTATTTTGAAAATAATTCCCTATCTAATAAGTAGTGCCACTATTTCATTTACATAAATTAAATCCTTAATGTATTAATTATGCAAGAAAAGGCACAATTGGCCGATAACATAAGTACGTTCTAGCACCACAGTATCTAACTGTAATCTAAATCTAAAATGTAGATTTGAAATTAAATCCATATTATAGAATCAAAACAAAAATAGCTTTATGACATTTTTTTGGAATTTTTGATTTAAATGTGTAATTCAGCTGGTACTTTTGCTTTTAAGTCACAGAGAACAGGCTAAGATTTCAGGCTTCTATTTTTCAAGCACTTCTCTGAAAATAATGACTGGCCTTAATTCCTCAAACTTAAAATGTCAAATTACATAAAAATCAATACCATAAATCCTATTTTTAACATCAGCTTTTGAAGATAAAATTTCCACTAGGAAAACAGAATGTGAGGATTTGGGAAAGACCATAATGAGGCTAGTTTACAGAAGAATTATCAAATTTAAACTTTTTACTGGTTTGTTACATTTCAATCAGAAGCCTCAGGTCAGACAATGGTTTTCTGTATACGAAACAATGCATTACTATACAAAAGGGAAAGAACTACACAGAACTATGTAACTGACAAGGCACCCAGGACTGCCGACATGACCAGAGATGAGAGAATGGCCATGTTCAACGGAGGGTCACTGACTCTGGGCCTTGTTCACTTTGTAGAGGCAGAGGGCTCTCACATGGCTCTACTGCCCAGGGGGAGGCATGTGAATCAATACTTACTTTAAAGTAGAAATAGAAAAAAAAACAGCTATGCTATTTTTAACATGAATTCCCCAACCTGCCTATGCAGACACCAGAGATTCCAAACTATCGGCTGAAAAATTTAACTTTCTTGACCTTTACAGTTTTAATGATATTTTCAGTCTTTCTACTCCAACATAAAACAAAACAAAAAAAAAAAATCCCCCAATCAGACATCATTTTCCAATACCTGCCCCCACAACTAGTCCCTCACTTGCTTTCTGTTTTCCCTTAGAAGCCAAATCCCATGAAAAAGCGATTTCAACCTGCTGCTTCAGATTTTCAGCTCACACTCAGTTTTCAATCCACTCTAATCTGGTGTCTGCAACCACTCTTCACCTAAAATTGCTTTTGTTAATGTAACCAGTGACGTGCCTGTCACCACGCCTGACAGATTCTTTCCAGCCTTGCTTAATAGCTCAGTGGCAGCTGGTTGATCACTTCTTGTCCCCGAAGGCAGTGTCACCCTTTGGTTTATGTGACAACAGGCTCTTTTAGTGTTTACTTATTTCTCAGGTTGCTTCTTCTCAACCTCTTCTTCCAATTTTACCTTTACAAGTGTTGGTGTTTCTTAGGATCAGTAAGTTTCTCTTCTTACTCTCTTTCTTTTTCATGACCTCTTTCTATCTCCAGGCCAGACATAGCCCCTGAATTTAGTCCCTTATGCCCACCTGCTACTCAATACACCCACTTGAACAGTGCATTTGATCATTAAATTCAGCAGGGCCAGAGTGTAATGCTTCTGCTCATCCCATCCCAGCTGACCTCAACCACGAACCTGCTTCGTGGAATGTTTTCTAGTTCTCAGTAACTAACACTGTTATCTACTATGGGCTATTTTAAAAATGCAAACCTGATTACATCATTCTCCCTTTTTAAAAAAATGTTTTTACTTCTTATCACTGGCAACAAGATACAATTAAAAATCTGTAGTAAATGCCTATAGGTCTGGTCCTTGTCCCCTGTGTTGGTTACTTTTCTCTTGTTGCTGAAACAAAATACCTGAGACCCAAAATTAGGAAAGGAAAGGTTTATTTAGCTCACAGTTTGTGGAGGTTTCAGTCCATAATCTGCTGGATCCAAGACAGAATGGATCATGGCAGAAGGCAACAGTTCAAGGTGGCCAGAAGACAGCATACGCAGTAAGAGCCAAAGAAGCACAGAAAGACTCTTTCTGTCCCTTGTATTGTACTCTAGGGCAGGTGTAGCACTCACACCTGATGAATCAATCACAAATTCTAGAAGACTTGCCCCATGACTGCATGAGGCATTGGGTGGGAACATCCAGACTCAAACCATAACATCCTTCCTCTTCCCTCCATCTTTTTCTCCCTTATTTTTTTAGTTAAACACACAATTCTCTCTCTTTCTCAAAAGTACTACACTTTTTTAACCTAAGAACCCTCCACTTTAAAGTTTCCTTTCTTTACTTAAGGAGCTGGCAAAGTTTTCCAGGACAGGGACAGACAGTAAACACAGTAGGCTTTGCAGACAAAGACTCAACTACTCAACCTTGACACTATGGAGTAAAGCAGCCACCAATGAAGACAACCATGTTTCCAGGCCATAGAGAAATGGGCTGTGGGTTAGGGTGCAATTAGTCAATTCCTACAGTACAAGGCTAACAACCCCCACCTTATCACTTATAGATTTAATTGTTATTTTCTCACTGAAATTTTCAGTGCTCAGGCAAGTCCCCTTTTTAGATATGCTTATACCACAAAACAATTTATTTTTTATAGAACTGGTCATAATTGTAATTAGATAGACACTGACAAAATTCTTTTGCAATATCCATCTTCCCTATAAAGATGTAAGCTCCACCAGAGTGGAACCATAGTGACTTTGCTTTGTCACATCTACCACATGGTAGAGAACGTGACACATAGTAGCTATCAATAAATATTTGTTAGAGAGATGAATCACTAATTTGCACTTTCACCTTAAGTTTAAGTAAGCTTATCTTTCTAAGCCTTAGAACATCATTTGGAAATGGACACACTAGTGTAGTGACAGTCACTTCCCAGATGTGACTCAAGGTCCTTGGTCAGGGGTGCTTTCTGCCAACTCTAACGCAATATACTAACATGAAAAGAAACAGAAGCCAGGCCCGGTGGCACATGCCTGTAATTGCAGCATCCCAGGAGTCTGAGACAGGACAGCAGCAAGTTTGAATCCTGCAGGGGCAATTGGAGTGACTCTGTCTCAAGATAAAAATTTAAAAGAGGACTGCAGGGTAGCTCAGTGGAAGAGTGCCCTGGGTTTAAGCCTGTATGAGGGGAGTATGGGTAAGATCCCTTGGTTGAATTGGATAGGAGTAAACTAACCCTTGGGCCAAGTCTCTCCTGTTTTGTTAGCTCTCTAGCTAAGGATGGTCTTTCTTTTTTAAAAAGGGTCCTAAACAAAACAAAGAAGTCTATCACAGAGACCACGTCCAGTCTGCAAAGCCTAAAATATTTACTTTCTGGATCTTTACAGAAAAAATTTGCTGACCCAGTGGCTGGGTTTAAGTAAGTATTCTAACAAGTGAATGAATGACTGTTACTTTGTTTTAGTATGTTGGTAACTGAAAAAAAAAACATTACTTTCTCTTTTCTATCCACTCAAAAAGTAAAGTTGTAAACATACAGCACCCTCCAGCCTCTCTCATGTTATATTTATTTTACACTAAAAGAATAAGAGGAGTCTATAAAGATTTTAATTTTCCCTCTATTATATTAACAACCATTTCTGAAACAGAAGGCCAGAAATGGGGTGATGAAGGGATGCTGGAAGCCAAGGGAGACACCTCCATGGAAGGTTGGTTGTTGCCGTGCACACTATTTCTTTGTGGAGGTGTTAGTCTATAGAAACAAATTCATTGTGGGCTTTAGAATATGCAGATTTTTATTCTTTGAAAATCCATATTATGCAGACATTAGAACTGACACGTTTACAAAAAATAATTAGGAGCTATGTTTACTACCAAAAGGAAATTCCTCAATGCTGCACAAGAAGAACAATTTGAAGTCAAAATATCAAGATTCAAGCTTAAATTTTATCATTCATTCCCTCTATGACTTTGAGTACATTATTAGTCTCTTGCTAAGTTTTTTAAATCTAGAGAAACAAGTAATACTTGCTTATTGGCATTCAGTCCGTTGCTATTATTCAAAAGATGACATTTAGCAGGTGCTTTTACTTGATCTTTTTATCACAATGAGCATTATAAGCATCAATCTATGGGTGAAGAAATACGCTCAGGGGGTTAGGAGATTTGCTCAAATGACACCACTAGAGAGAGGCAAAGAATCTGGAGTCAGATCTTGATTCAGTAATTGCTGATGAAATATTTAATCTCTTTAGGCCTACTCTGTCTTATCTTGCAAAAAACATTTAAGACCTAGTTCGCAAAAGAAAAGTACTGAAATTCTCCTGTACTACAATATGGACAACTTCCACCTGAAGGATGGATGGTTTCCCCCCACTATTCCATGCTAAATCTAATTCTATGTCTTTAGTAAAAATACAATATTCTCTCTTCTGTGCATACAGTAAGAACAACCTACATCGAGGAAGCCTAAAGACATAAAAGTGTTACAACATACCCCTGCAGTACCACAGTGGTCCTAAATTACACTTATTCCACAGCAATTCTCCTGTGCGGTGGGTCACACACATTCAGTATAGGACACGTCAGTTGACCAGTAAAGCTTTATTACCTCTCCTTCATTGTCTCGTGTACTAGCCCATGCTGGACACACTGTTCTTCCAATTCATCATTTCTTCTCTGTAACTTCTCCAGTTTATGATCTGTATACATTTTTTCCTGACTCAGCAGAGCTATTTCAGATCTAGAGGGGGTTAAAGCACAGAAATCACAGATATTAAAAGTTCTTATCATTAGAGTTTGGTTTTATTGTATAACCCTATTTTAAATGTCAGGCTTAAGCGTAACAGAATAACAAAATTATTTTATGTAAAAGAAAATCTTCAGAAACTTTGAAGTTCCTCGTAGGGGCTCAAGTGTCAGAAAATAAATAAATAACATATTCTAATAGAAATGCTTTCCGTAAGGAACAATTCAAAAATTAGAATGATCAACTATTTTAAAAAGACCATCACTCATTTAACAAATATTTACCGAGTGCTTACTATAGGCCAGCCACCAAGCTGTTAAAGAAGCAGTCCCAAGCCTAATTTCTATAACAGAGTTTCTTTTAGTTAACATAGCCAATTTAATGGCATATGGTTGAATATCAAATAGTTCTGTGATAGTTAATTTTATGTGTCAACTTGGCTGCGCCACAGTGCCCAGATATTTGGCCAAACATTATTCTGGATGTTTCTGTGAAGGTGTTTTGTGCAATGAGATTAACATTTAAACTGGTGGATTTAGAGTAAAGCAGATTATACTCCATAATGTGGATAGGCCTCCTTTAGTCAAGTGAGGGCCTTCACGGAACAAAGGCTGACCTCCCCTAGGAAGAAGGGCTCCTGCCAGCAGAGTGCTTTTAGGCTGGAGCCCTACTCCTCCTGGGTTCTTCAGACTTCCCAGGCTTTCACACGCTGAAGACAACTTCTTAAATTTCTTTTCCCTTCTTTTTTCTTTCTCTTCCTTTTTCTCCTCTAAGTACTGAATGATCTAGATCTAGATCAACCCAGGTCTAGTTTTTTGTTTTGTTTTGTTTTGTTTTGTTTTTTTTTTTTTTTTTTTTTGGTCTTTTTCGTTTTTATCGGTACCGGGGATCGAACTCACGACTGCCTGCTTGCAAGGCAGGCGCTTATGCTGCTGAGCTAAATCCCCAGTCCCTATCAGTCCAGGTCTAAATCAATCCATCAATAGATCACTGTTGTTTCTGCTTCCCTAGAGAACCCTGGTTAATACAAGTGTGATAATGAAAGACAGAAGTCTTTTGTGCTGTGACCCCCCTCAATCAAGCTAAGCGGTGACAAATACTGTCAGTTCTGGAAAAGTTATTTCTTCTGACAGTTACTTCCATATTTCAGACCACTAACTCTTGTTTTAGTAAGCAATTTCTACTGTCTTATTACAGTAGATGAATTTCTTTTATATGTCTCCTTCTTCTTCCTTCTCTAGCTTTTAGTGTAATTACCAGACTGTTGGCTGGGGCTTAATTAATATCAGTATTTACATTATCATGACTATTTAAATACTGAGCCTTGCTATCCTAGTCATATATGTGCACGTTGTACATTCATTTTCTCCAGATTAGTGGGTGGTTGAGTAGCAAGTCATCTCTTCCAATGGGACACTGCCCAAGAATCACTGTCCTATCTCTGTGGCCACTCTGCTTCCTAAGAAGATCCTCTAATGTACCACCTGCTCTCGGGTACCACCTGGACTGTCTGAGGCCTAGCAGGTGGGTGGAAATAGAGGGTGAGAATGCAGACCTCTCCTAATCCCTTTATTCTAACTTCTGTGCCCCTACTGTAGCCAGAGCTCCCTGGTTTAACCTCTTGAGAGGAAGCCCTCATCTTCTATGTGGAGGAGGAGCAGTCATCTGGCTGCAAGGGGTGAAGAAGAAATTGCGATTCCGGCTTCACCCCTATATCCTACCTCTGTCTTCCAAGTATTTCCAGAATTGAGAGCAGATCGGTTTGTTTTACATAAACACATCCCCCGTGTAGACTCTTAAGATTCACCTTTCTCCACTCTGCTGAATCAGGTACCACTTTCCCTCGCTCACACATTTTATTTGGGATCACAGATACCCTCTCTGGCGATGGTTGACGTTCCTTGGGGCATACACTACATTTTCAGTGTCATGTTTGACAACCCAAGTCTCAAAACTGGGAAATCAGAAAGATACCTATGCAAGACAAATTGTATCCTTGTCATTTTTTAAACTCAACTCCAACTTGCTGCTGTTACCATCTCCTCATGCCTCACTGCCTTCACAGGTAGAAAAGGGTTAAAATTCTCCTATATTATCAATAGCTTCCAGATTAATGATTAGTTTATTTCTTAAAGTTTACAGGCTCTTGATGTAAAATTGATATCCTCCAAAGGAAAGGTTTCTCTATTAAGCGCTATTTTTCTCTCCTTTTCTTTTTTGTCAATAAAGGACTTAGAGTTGCTAAGGGAAATCTTACCCAAAGACCAAGCTGCTCACATGAATGGTGTGCTCTCTCCATTTTAATTCACCTCACTCTCACTTTGTTTTTATCTGTTTCAAGTGTTATCCCAAAGGAAGTTTGTACAGATTAATATCTTGCAGTTCTCAATATGTCAGCACACTTTTTGAAACTATCTCTAGCCTTTATGCATACATTAGTTTACAATTTATTCTTTTGAATTGTGCTCTAAGTCTCGTCTTTCTTACTAGATTATAAATGAGAACATGGCTTATCTCATTTTCAAGTTCAGATCAAGTACTCATCCAGATTTGCTTTTCTTATTAAGAATTTACTCATATTTGAAAAAGTGAATTAATTTCTGTTTCTCCTTTCAAAATTATGTATAATGTAAATGAATTGAGAAGTAATTATAATGAAATTTTGGGTTAGTACTCCTTCCAAAATTAGTATCTTTTATTACATTATACATTAAAATAAATTCCAAAAGAAGAAAAAATGCCAAGTTAGATAAGGAAAAAACTCAGAACATTTATTTGTTGTCAGGAACTTTACAAGCAAAAGTGTGTTTTCTAAAGGGGAAAAAAAAAATCACAAAAGAAAAAAGATTCTATAATACAAAAATGTAAACCTTTTACATATAAAAATCTACTGTATTTGAAAAAACTTGGATTTCTGTGAGGATATTCATTGTAGTACCATTTCTAGAAAAAAAAGCTTGCAACTCAGTATCTGGAAAGTTAACCTATAAGTTTATCAACAGGCAGCTGATTATGTATCACTTCTATCCTAGGAAATCAAGATAGTGTTATGATTACGAGGCTATTTATTAGTGTAACTTATTGACTTAAAAAATATGGCATTGTTGAGAAAAGAAAAACATTAAAACATTAAAAATTAGCATGTATAATACGATTCCATTTTACAATTTAAAAGACATCTTTTAACATGCACACCAAAGATTAATATTCATTATTTATGGGTAGTAGGATTAGGAAAACTTGCCCTTTTCATATTTTAGGAATTTATACAATGTGCACATTTTAAAAGTTATTTTTATTTAAAAAATTTTAATACAACAAAAAATGTAAAAAATGACAGTGGAGGAAGTTGGTTGGAATGTGAACATAAAACTGTCCTAAAATTAAAGATACAAATTTTAAGAATATAAAGAATTAAGAAAACATTTACAAAAAATAAAACACAAATGGCAAGCATCATTAAACTGATAACACCACTCCAACATAATCACAATTCAGAAAATACAAAGCACATGAAAAATATTCTGCAGGAGAAGAGACAGAAGGGGTCAATAAATATTTGAAAAATACATAGAAGTTTCAATATTATTCAAAGAAATGCATAAAAAATCCAGATAATACTGGCAGATTTTTTTGCATGTTGATTCTATACCAAATAGTGGAATCCATCCTTTAACAAGCCAGATTTACTGAGAAGATAATTGTTTATTTCCTTTTTTGCTGTGAGGTCAGTATGAAGTTAAATGACTTGCCGGAGGTGACCCAAAATGGTGATTAGCTGGTCTTTCCAATTCTTACAGTGTAGTTCACCCACCGCACAACATTGCCTCTCATTTTTTTTAAAAAAAAAACTCTATTTTTAATGTCACATAGTGACATGAAGATATATATAGTAAACAGAACTTAGTATAATATTTAAGTAACACACAATAATACCTTTAGAAGGATTCATAATCTTCAGACCAGCAAATCCCTTTTAGACTTCTCTACTAAGGGAATTTACAAAAATTCAGATTGCTGTACAGTGACTGTCATATTGTTCATAAAAGTTAAAAACTGGAAATGTGTTAAATGTCTAATGAATTATTATGCATGCAGATGATTCAATTAAATTTTGTTTCCAGAGTATTTACTGATGTAGAAAAATGTTCATTAATGAGATATTAAGTAAAAAGCAGATGCAAAATTATATTTATCACAATCTTAATCATAATATAAATGTCTGTGCACATGATACATTTACATACACATGGAAAATGACTCAAAGGAAATATGTTAAAAGGTAACAGTAGTTATTCCTACACAGTAGTGCTATAGTAATTTTTTCCTTAATTCTTTGTATTTTCCTAGTCCCCAATCTTGAAGATGTCTTACTTAATCAAAAAAAGTTATTTATAAAGTGCATATTACTATAACATGTGTTACTGTAACAATCCTTTTCTGCTCTGCATATTTTTCTTTATTGATAGTAGTATTTTTCTTGCTAAATTCCATTTTGTCCACTAAAAATTTGGTATATGGCTATACACGCTGTCCTTTATTTCTGCAGAGCTCAGAATACAGTCACAGAATTATCAAATTGCAAATTTCAAAAAATAAACTTACAAGTTTCTATGTTAGTTATGAGATATATTTGTGGCATGATTGTCCTAGTCTCATATAAAAGGATAATTAACTCCAATCCATTTTCCTAGAAAATTTAGGTAATTTCTGGCTTTACAGAAGCATAGACTTTTCTCTACATTTTAATATACCAGTTACATTGTGTAATTGCATGTGCACAAAACAGAAGATGCTTTACTACTATAATTCAGAGTACAATGATAATTGCTTTTAAAAGGAAAAATATAATACCTTAATTTTTAATTCTTTTAGATTCTGGTTTGACTTTCAATAATAATTAGCAGAAGGCCAATATAAACCTCCTCTTACAGAATATAATTTTTGTCCCACTCTAACATCATCTAAACATGCAGGGGAAAAAATATAGTTCATTCGGGTGTGTGTTCTTTACTTCAATTAAACTCACACAGTTGGATACCTACTGTTGCCAAAACAGTAATATAATTTATACATTATAGTCCACACAGTAAAACTACACTAAAAGTCATTTAACAATATTTATAACACCATAAAAGACAGTGTTAAAATATATGAACTGCAATATGTACCAAAATTATAAAATTTGTTTCTCATCATCAGTGATTAAAACCAGGATCATTGCTCTAGCTTCAATACTCACAACCCTGGTGACAGATTAGAATTCAAATCTTAATGATCAATTTACAATTAACAAGATAGAAGTGAAACAAATTAAACCAACCATTATATATAACGAGACCCCATGGACTCCCATTGTTCCTCTTAATTACAAAACGCAAATTACAAATACACAATGGGCAGTGTTAGACATCAATCCACAAGCCTAGCAACCCAGAAAGTGACAATGACGGAAAAGAAAGAAGAGAAGCAAAACCACATAAACCCTGGTTCTGTGCTCTTTCCTGTTCTGTCAGTGCGCAAGTGGAGAGAGGCTAAGATCTAGCACATCCCTGACCTCCAGCAATCTCCAGGATCTCCACTCCGATGCTGGCAGAGACTCATTCCAAGCCAGTGCCCAACCCTTCGAGCTCTTCCCAGGCCGAGTTTTAGATCGCACTGCGAACTGCATTGCTATTTTACTGCTGATTCATCTAAGTGCCTGGGGAAAGGGAACACTTCCTTCACTTTGATAAAGAAAAATCACAGTTAGACCAAAGATATTTAAATATCTCCATTTACCGCTTTCAAAAACAACCTCATAACTGCAATAAGAGCTCAGAGTACTGGGGAATACAGACGGAAGGGTGAACTTAAGTTTATCTGTGCTTCAACTAAAATCAGCCAGAATGTCTGCCTTGTGCCAATTAAAAGCAAAATGGAATTAATTCTCTTGCCTGATGGTCAAAAACAAGCTATAAAAATGCACAGAATCGGCAATGCATTTTGAGTTTTAAAACGGGATGCACCATTAACAAAGCCTGGGGTTGCAAACACCTCTCCATGCACACTGTGGAATACACAGTGCAGCAAGAACAGTGCTGATCGTTGTGGAGGCTTCCCGAGAACAGAAGCAGTCCTCACTGTCACAATGCGACTTGCCGTCTACGTGGGGAGAAAACACATACAACAGACACACACACAGAGGTACCACTTCAAAATGCTTTCACAGAGCAGCCTAGCAGGAGGGTGGGCATAGAGGAAGAGGATCCGGGCATGGTGAGCCCAGGCTGTCAGCTTTCCTAGTGACTGTGTGCAAAAAAGCTGATTTTAAATAGTAGGAGTCCATTTGGTTAGTGTGGCATTTTGAATAACTTAAAACTCTTAGAGAAATGTTGATCCTAAAGAAAGGCAGGCAAAAAAAAAAAAAAAGGTGTTTTGAATTATTGATCAATATAAAGCAAATACACCTGCTTTTAGGGAAAACTTTACTGTGGTACTCTGAAGAGAATCTGGACCATGGTTACTGTAATTATTTTGGAGACTGAGTTGTTACAGTGACCAAACTTTAAAACACTTTCTAAAGTTCAAAGCAAAATGGAAATTATTTACCCTAAAAGTTTGGCACAGAGAAGGTAGAAGCACATTCTGGGAGGGTTTCTACAGGGCTGACTACTTTTATAATTTTTACTTCAAAAGAAATGCACTTAGCCCTTCAAGTTTTATAGGTGGTTTCAAAGCAAATGGTAATATGAAAGTGGAATTTGGTAATATGAAAGCTAAATTTGGCATGAGTGAGTTGCTGAACATGTTATATTAGGAAGCCAGGGAGAAACAAGACTAAATTGATGAAAGATTAAAGGCACACAAACAACCCTAACACCACAATTTATCCTACCTACTCCTCTTGTGAGGCACACAAATGTACTTTTGTAAACTTTAGAGAATCTTAAATTTTATAAATAGCAACTGATCGAATGTTTACCACTTGCCAGGCCTTAGTCTTGAGTCAATGTGTACAATAGGCACTCATTTTAATTCATCGGATTTATCAATACAACTGCCAGAGCATGACTTGCAACATATCCAGATCTGTCTTTTCTGGATGCTGCTGTGGCCTTTAAAAGGTTTTCACTGTGATGTGGACGTTATGTCTATCAGAAAAATGGCACTCAGACCTTCCCTGGAAAAGGCGGCAGGAGTCTGGTGAAGTGTTTACAAAATGATCCGTCAAAACCCTTATAAGACACATCACCAACGACAGCAGAGCAGCTAGTGTGTACTGCTAAAGGCTGAGCACCATGCCAGGTGCTTTACACAGCGGACTTGTGCATTTGTGTGTTCTGCATCCATTTTAAATGACAGAGTGGAGCACCTGCAGACTTTGGTATCCAGGAGGGTCCTGAGCCCAATCCCCCAGGGATACTGAGGCACATCGGTATATGAAGCCGTGTATCTCTCCTTTCCTACAGACACAATTCCCATTCCCATAAGAATCCTACAACATAGCTTTAGAAATACTTTTACAGATGGGGAAACTGAGGTTTGGGGAGATCAAGCAACGTACTCCACGTTACACAGTGAAGTGGCAAACTAGGATGCAAACCTAATTCTTTTTGTGTGTTTGTTTTTGGTACCGGGAGTCAAACTCTGGACCTTGCACTTGCTAGGTGGGCACTTATGTCATTGAGACATATTCCTGGCTCAAACCTAGTTCTGTTTGAATTATAGTGTTTGCTCCTACATATTTCCTATCACCATACAGGAACAGACTAACAGAAGATAGAAGTCAGGCGGTTTCATTCATTCATTCACTCAATAGATATGTATTGAGTGCCATCTATGTGTCAAACACAAAGGAACACATTCAGTTTATAAAGTTGTAGTCAGGAGCTGGAGGAACCAGAAGCAAGAAAAGCTGGAGAGAAGCTTAAGTTCAATTTTACTAGACCTGTAGGGAATAAGCTCTAGAGGATCTAGAGGAGGAAAAACAGGGCCCAGCAGCACACAGTGCAGGTTAACCTCGGTTCTCAGGCAGCTCACTCACTTCATACAAATTTAAAGGTTAATTTTTCCTTCCTAACAGCTCTCATCATTGCTACTGTTGCCTGAATTCTTTACTCTTTCTCTCCGTTTTTCCTTCCTTCTGCCCTCCATCCTCCTTGATTTACCTCTTCCCTTTCTCCTCTTTTCCCCTGTCCTTTTGAAAAAATTTTATTTAAAGAAAGACTAAACAAAACAGAAAATGGGTAGAAATAATACATACATTCAGAGAAAAAATAAACAGTAAGAAATCACTAGTTGATGTTTACATACTGTCCTTTTACAAATAGTTGCTCAAGATACAAAAGTGGAACATATAAAGTGGGAATTCAAACAGCGAGACTGCAAACAGTTCTGTTCAACTGTCCAACAGAAACTTAGTAACATGGTTGTCAATCCTATACACTTAAACATACATGCAGTTATCCATATCTTCATTTATGTTGAGATTAAACAAACTAAAGCAGGCTAAAATCATTCTGAACAAAGAAAAATAGTATTGCTGGATTTCACATCATGACACACCGGGATCAGCACTGAGTACTGTAGTGTCTTTTTTCCCCTGTCTTTTGTCTTCTTTTTTCTTCCCCACCCTTTCTCTCTTCTTTTTAACAGAGGAGAGCTCACTATGTTGCTCTGGCTGACCTCAAAGTCCTAGACCTAAGTAGCCCTCTGTGTTGGCCTTCCGAGTAGGAGGCAGCTGAGACTACGGGTGCATGGTACCACATCTGGCTAACCTGACTTTTCTGTAGCAGTAAATATAAAATAGTGTAATTATTGTAAGAAACACTGTTGACATTAGTGTCAGAAACACCTAGGCAAGAATCTTGGTTCACAGACTCACTAATTACTTAAATCAGTTATTTTGGTTTCCTTATCTGTAAAAGAAGACAAGAATCCCTGCCTCAAGCTGCTGTGTGAATTAAATAATGTGCATCAAGCACCTTTATCTCTTTAATTTCCTTAATTATTTGGTCTAAAGATAACTTACATGTGTTTGAAGAGGACTGTGATAATAATTGATTAAAATGTGTTAACTACATCAACAGAAGATTTTAAAACTATTTGATTCATCTTACCTTCTATTTTCAGAAACTTCCTAATTTTTCAATTCTAAGTATTAAAGCAGTCAAAATAGGATGAATATATAAGTATGAGAAATATCAACATGTTTGTACAGACAATTAAGAAAATACCCAGAGTTAGGTGTGGTGGCTTACCCTGTAATCCCAGCACTCAGGAGGCTGAGGCAGGAGGATTGTTGCAAGTCTGAGACCAGCCTAGGCTACAAAGTGAGTTCAAGGCCAGTCTGAACTGCATAGTGAGACCATGTCTCAAAAAAAAAAAAGAAGAAAATATCCATACAGAGAAAATATATCAACAGCTATCTAATTTTAACATTAGATTTTAACACTGGGAATGCTGTTTTTTAAGATAAAAAAGAACAGTAATCAAACAGTGGTCTGAAAGTATTGTGTGACTTTACCTACCTGCTTTTTTGAGAGATCTGCTCCATTTTCTTGACTAATGAACAGCACTCTTCCTTTAACTTTATCAAAAACGTGTTCTGGGAGGTCATCAATGAATACTGTTCACTTTCTAGGAATAACAATAAACCCCCACCAACATCAGATGTTTATTATTTTAGCTTTGGATGCTTCCACACTCAGTAGTAAAGTGCTTTAGATCACTACATATTTCCTAGAAGCCACTAGAACACTCTCACTATCCTAAGTTAAAGGACCTATTGTCCTTTAGACACAGAATTTTATGAGATGTTTATTTTTATAATAAAATTATACACCAGCAACATTTTTGATCCTATCAGCTTGGTGCAACATTTTAGTTTAGCATGTTCATAAATTGTCAAATACCTCAAGTGGAGTCATAGATGCTTTTGTAATATGCAAGATATTATATTTTATTTTGACAATTTTACTATAAACTGTCAAAAATCTTACAACCAGATAATTCAAAGCTAAAACCATCAAGGAATTCTCTTTTACACTGCAAATCCTGCTTTATGTTTCGCATTGGAGCAGTTAACCAGCACCTCCCCCGCTGGAATCCTGCATGCACTTCTCTAACTATGAAGGTGGAATATGCTATTTCCCTTAGAATTTTCAACTTTTTGTCTATAGCATGTGCTTCAATGAAGATCTGATCAAGGAAATTTAAGATAGTGATGTAAGTGTGTGTATGTGTGTGTGTGTGTGCAAGCAAAATAAATGAAAATGTTCATAAGGTGGATTTAATAGTTAAAAACACTTATGTAATGCTGAGTCTACCTAAGATTCTTGATCATTAGAATTTTGCTAGCACGGGGGCAAACAATAATTTTTCCTGTAATTCCATCTTAGTGTTTTTAGTGTAAAAACATCTACTGAATCTGGTGAATTTTCATTTCTTCTGGCCAAATGCTATGAGAAGAAAATCTCTACTGAAAGAGCTAGAGGGAATTGTGAGCCATTATGGCATTTGCTTCTTTATAAGTAAACAGGTTATTTAGTATATTACATGTTAGTGATTTTTCACCTATGGAGTAAGAAATAATTTTTTACTGTGTCACCAAATACAATTATACATTAAATATGGCGACTATCACCTCTGTAAGTATAAGGTTTAATAGGCCCTTTATGCCTTTTCAATTTTAGTTAATGATTACCAAAGAAGCATATAGCATGCAAAGCAAAATAAATCAAGGCACTAAAATTAAGCAACATTTTTTGGGAAGAGACAGGATCAATTAAACTTTTGTTTTAATAGTACAATCAGCCCGAAGTATGTGGTGTGGAATTGTAATGACTGACACTGTCTTGTTTTGACTAACACTGTCTGTGAACACACAACTCAGAAGTGAAAGGAACTACAGAATGCTCTGACTGAACAAATCAAACTGCCTATTTTCAAAGTGCATTTTACTTTCAAATTAAAGGTAAAGAGTTGCTGGCCAACTCTGTCTGCGGAATCGTGCCAATGTGATGAAAGATGGCAATTTTTAGCCAAGCTGCCAGCTGTGGTCAATGCCTTGTATTAGTGAATTTTAACAGCAGTTGTGAGAACTTGAAGAATGCATAGGATTAAACATCACTCTAGATTGGATTGGGGGAGGTGGGGAAATCATACAAATGCTAAAAATGTTCGAAGCTGCAAAGATTAAATAAAGGAACATATCAATTTGGAGCTACTGAATTACATCCAGCTGCGACAGTGAATTAAGAACCGATTAATGGCTAAAGCTTTTCTCCAGTTTGGATGCTGAAGCAAACTCATTAGGCTTTTAGAGTAGCTATAATGTGTGTACTGTGGGAACTGTTCAATGCTATTCAGGAGACTCTAACTGTAAGCTCAGAGCATTTCCCGCAGAGCTTCTGATGCTATTTTCTTTATATAACATGTGTGCCTGAAAACCCAGCCAAAAACAAGCCCTTTGTTTTTCTACTTTGTTGTGGTCTCTCTCAGCTTTACGTTTCTTGAACACAGGTAAATAAACTCATAATCCAGATGGTGCAACAGATGTGAGAGCAGCACTCCGAAATCAACAGACAGTGGGCAATACTTTCCATTTTCTCTTTTAAACGCTAACTAATATGTAATTCGGAATCTCCGGTGTAGTTAGCATCTGCTCCCTTCGGCCAGCCAAAGGTTACAGGTGTTCCTGATGTCATTTCACAGTAAGGCGTGGGCCTGGCTTGTGAGCGAGTGCCCAGGCTCTAATCTTTCCCTACCACCTACCAGTTCTGTCATGCTGGGCCTCCATTTGCTGTATCTTCTGTGTCAGCTCCTGCTCTCTTTGCTGGGCCTGAAGGGCTTGGGCCTTTGCTTCGTTGCTAAAGCTCTGCTGAATGCTATCTTTTTGCAGTCTGTGAAACAGAGGGGAGACACACAGAAATGTAATCTGCAGACACACAAACCTCCATCGCCGTCCCTGTGGAGCACAGAGAGCTGATAGGTCGTAAATTGTTAAGCATGAGAAAAGAACAATCTTTGCACAGATCCAACCTCCAACCCCAGGAAGGGAAAAATCCCAAGGACTTTTCTTACACTGTGAAATACATGCCACGAGTCCAAAAGAAGTAAAGAATGCAATTCTAAAATTAAAAAATCAAGACAGGTGAAACGTGATATTCTGTAACTTTAAAGCATACATACCCTCTTTTTCTGTAAAATTTTTTTACTGTTTTGTGCTACTAAATTAATCCTTCTGCTTTAAAATGGTCACTATTTCCTAAAGATCATGGAATTCTACAAAGAGCACGACTTAATTCCTAGTGTAAGTAAAACTTACATTCTTAAAATTTAGGCTTTGTAGGTCACTTAAAGATTTTTCTCTGGAATTTAAAATGGAATCTCAAAGATAGTTCAGAAGACTATCTAGAGGCCAGTAAATTCTGCAGTGCAATGTGCATATTTTTATTAAATATTTTCACACATAATGAAAATGCATAACTTCCCTCAGCATTTTGTAAGAAAATCTCTCGAGTCATATTGAAAGAAAAGGCACAGTAAAAAGCTTCTACAGTACAGAACACATCCCATCCTACTGCAAAAAGATGTTGACCTATTCATTAGGTCGTTACCCAATCTCAGTGACTCCTAAGGGAAGACTTGCTAAGCAATTAGAACCCTGGCTGTGCAAAAGACCTCCTTGCTGGTAGCACCATGGATACTGATACTGCATCTGTACCACTCACTAATATATGCACACGTCTCTTTCTCTCTCTCTCTCTCTCTGTCTCTCTCTCTCTCTCACACACACACACACACACACACACACACGAATTGATTCTCAAGTAAGCAATATGAGGGTTTCCTTCAATTAAATAGTTTTTTCTAACTCCTGATCTCCTTGTGGGCATTTCTCATCCATGCTGCTTTAGTTTACTAATTGAGATATTTACTGCCTAGCCTTTGCCAAACTAAAAATAAACAATTCCATAAAGCTATCACTACCAGTCTATGTACCGCTGTGGAACTTCAATTCACTGGTTTCTAATTATAAAACAACATAAGGAAAGCCTGTATTGAAATTGGTCAATGCATGTGGTAACGTTGTAGTGTAAAATTCTAGAATGAAAATACACCCACACCTCACTCAAATGGAATCATCGGGGGTCCACACTAAATGTGAAATGAGGTCCCTTCTGGTCGCTCTAACAACACCCCCTGGATGTGGGCCAAGGTCTCGTCTCACACTTACTTCCAAACTAGTATATTGCAACAAATGGATAGGCAGACAAGGCTACTTTTTGCCTTCCTTATCACACCACGCATTTTCTGGCTATGGATCATTGCACATGTCTCCTCCTCTCCTGGAAAACCCCCTGCCCATCATCCAATCCCCTGCATGACGGATGATATTTCTTTACAGATTAGCTTCACAATCTTCCCTTCTCTGGCCTCTATCTCCTGAATTAACTCTCCTTCACTCCATGACCTCAATATGTGTTGGGCACGCCCTACAAGACAGGGTTGATCCCGTGTGTTTACTGGCTCACCTGCCTGCTTCCTTTCGTTATCTCTGTCTCTCTCTGCCTTGAGCCCAGCTCAGCAGTTGGCACACAGAAGGTGAGTGCTGGATGTTGAATGGCTGGACGTTCTTACACCCTTGCCGTTAAAGGGCAGGGGTGGCCTTTAAGTGAAACTAGAGGAACTGCTCTTATGCAAAGGAGGTAAACATTCTTCAGACATTTAGAAGAGAGTTCTTGTTAGTGGCTTTGTCAGCTGGAGACTCTTCTGCTAGAGGAAGCAACTTGAAAAAAAGCTCCAGGTACCCTCACTCAGTAGCCATGCTCAGGTCAACTCTATGTCAGAGCAGGGGGACAAGTGGGGAGCCCTGGGGCTCTGAGTTCCCTAGTAGTTGGATAAGCATAAAATGCACTGTTCAAAATCAATATGTGAATGCATGAAAAAGGAGGCATTATTAATAATTATATCAAGAAAACAGTCATCACTGAGACTACCACTGCAAACGAGGACTTTTAGTATCCCAATATAGAGGGGTTGCCAATCCTGCCATCAACTTTTAGAACAAAAACTCTTCTGAGTTACACGTCAATGTGCCTTTTGTCTTTTTTTTTTTGATTTTGCTTTTCTTAGCAGTACTGGGAATTGTACCCAGGGTCTTTGCAGAGCTGCAATTCCTAGTTTTTTCTTTTTTTTATTTTGAGACTGGATTGTGCTAAGTCATCAAAGTGTTAGGACTGAGCTCAAATATTGATCTTCCTGCCTCAGCCCCCAGAGTTCAGGGATTATAGCATGAGCTACCATCCCCTGCTCAATGCATGTTTCTTGACTCCTTGTACAGCCTTCACACTTTAACTCTATTTAAAGACCATAAAAACAAGGCATATTATTGTTTTCCTTCTTCCTTTCCCCTTTCTCTTCCTTCCTCTGTTGCCTCATCTCCTTCCAGGCTCCTCCTGACTTTTTATAAAGCCTCATAATGTTAGAAATGAAAGGGAATCTCAAGTTTGCTTCATCGAATCAAGACCTCACTTTACAGCTAAAAAACAACAAACATCCTGCATCTGAATTTCATAAAGCGTTTAACCCACTCATAGGTTATACAGTGAATAATTTAAATGTGAAGGTAGAATCAAGAATATTTTTCCTCAGGGAAACCTATTTTATAACACTCTAGAGCAATGGTGGTGAACCTATGGCACGTGTGTTATTTTTCTTTTACAACAAGGGATGTTAATGTATGAGTTGTTTTTTCTGAACTAAAACTCCAGCATGTAGGTTTAATTGCTGTGTTGGTATTTTGCAATAAATAGGTGGGTTCTGCAGTTTGGGCACTCATCTCTAAAAAGGTTCACCATCATTGCTCTAGAGGAAGAAGTAATAAAAATTACTTAGGTATCCAAGGGGAAGGAGTAAAGAATTCATATCAATCTGTTAAATATTTATCATGATTCCATTATGACACTGTTAGGCACTGATTCAAATAAACAAGACATGGTTCTTGCCTTTGTAGTGAGTTTAAACTGGGAAGGAGAAGGTGGATGTGGGACTTCATAGGAAAGCAAAGAGGGAAAAACTACCAAAGCACAGAAAGGTAATCTTAGCTGGGTATGGGTACCTTGTAAAGGAAAACTAATTCAGTCTTCTCCACCTGGCTTTCTTTCAATCTCACTCAAAATATCAATGATCTTATTTAATGCATCTTGTAGATAGACTTATTTTACGAAATGAAATCAAAAGAAATGAATGGAGGTAAAGAAGTTTTTGGTAGTGATTAAAACAGGACTGCAGGATTTATTCACAATGACAAAACTGGGAAAAAACTAAATGCCCATCACACGCTAAATGGATAAACAGATTGTGGTACAGCCTTACAAAGGAGTGCTAGGAATACTAGCAATAAAAGGAACCAGCTGCTGCTACATACAACACCTAGATGAACCTCAAAAGCAATCAGCTTAAAGGAGCCAGACACCAAAGACATATTTTATGACTTCATTTGCATAACGTTCTTGAAAAGTAAACATTAGAGTGACAGAAAGATCAGTGTTGCCAGGTCCTGGAGGTAGGGAGGGGCCTGGGGGAATTTCTGCCGGATAAAAATGTTTGTATCATGAGTATGATGGTTCCACAACTGTATACATTTGTCAAAATATATGTAACTGTACACTTAAAGTTTGTGACTGTTAATGTATTTAAATTTACATTTACGCTGATTTTAAAAAGAAGCAAATGTACTAGCACAGGAATATCCACTTTTATTCTTCAAGGTATCCATGTCATCTGTAATCCATACACCCAATGGCCACACTACTGTTTTTTGACAAAAACTCAAGACTTAAAAGACATGGACAAGTACTGGCTAGGTTTCAAGCACACATTAGGTACATGAGGTCTGTTTTTCCAGTTATAGTTTTAGCTGACTGTATTTCCTAAAAATGGGTATAATGATATTTACCACTCCACTTTCCACAACATTTTAAATCTTGTCATTTGAAAAATGTCCATGCCACAGAGCCTAAATGACTTGTAAAATAGATTTTTTTAAAAAATATTTTTGGGACTGGGGATTTAGCTCAGTGGCATAAGCGCCTGCCTTGCAAGCAGGCAGTTGTGAGTTCGATCCCCAGTACCGATAAAAAGGAAAAAGACAAAAAAAAAATTTTTTTTTTTAAATTTTATAACCTGTTTGAGGAACTAAGAGTTTCTGATGATCTTCAAGTTCCACAATGAGCCTGGGACAGAAATGATGAATCCCTCAAGTCTGAGCACCAGGTCCTGGGAGTGGCGGTCACTAAAGCACTGTCCCATCTGCCATGTCTACGTCACCTTTTTCCTTATGTTGGACGTGACAGTATTAGGCACACAATCTATTGGGTTAAAAAGTGTCTCCTTGTAGCATATTTGTGTGAGAAAACTCGTGGGAAGGGGTGGGTTGAATCATTTACCCGGCATGTTCAAGGCTCTGGATTCAATGCCCAATGCTGCAAAGACAAACAAACAAAAAGAACTTGTGAGATTTATAACATGCTTACTAGCTGAAACCATGTTCGAAGGCCTACAGAGAGATGCAACAGGGAGGAACTCTTGCTGTTGTGATTTCAGAAACAAACTGTCCACGTGTCCCAATGCTAGTGATATGAGCTTTGATCAGTGGATCTACATCATGAGTAGTATAGAAAGTATTTCATGATTAGTAGGAGAGGTGGGGAGAGAAGCAGTCATCTGTGGTGCTTAGCAATTTTCAGTATAAATATTTCCACCATGGTCTGTTTTAAAGTACTCAAAGTGACACCACTGAACATCAAGCTGGGAAGAAACACATACCAGCAGCTTTTGTGAACTGGTATGAGCCAGCCCTACTACCCCATTGCTTAGGTGAGCTCCCCCAGGACCC